AGGGCCACCCTCACAGACACCGCTTCCAGTCCAGTCCAGATGATGATGATGATGATGATGATGATGATGATGATGATGATGATGATGATGATGATGATGATGATGATGATGATGACGATGATGATGATGATGATGATGATGATGGTGATGGTGATGGTGATGGTGATGGTGATGGTGATGGTGATGATGATGGTGATGAGGATGAGGATGAGGATGAGTATGAGGATGAAGATGATAATGATAATGACGCTGATGATGATGATGATGATGATGATGATGATGATGATGATGATGATGATGATGATGATGATGATGATGATGATGATGATGATGATGATGATGATGATGATGGTGATGATGATGATGATGATGATGATGATGATGATGATGATGATGATGATGATGATGATGATGATGGGTGATGGTGGTGGTGGTGGTGATGATGATGATGATGGTGGTGATGATGATGATGATGATGCTGATGCTGATGCTGATGCTGATGCTGACAACGACGAGGAGGACGAGGACGAGGAGGAGGAGGAGGAGGATGTGAAGGAAGTGGGGAGGAAGCGGAGGAGTAGGGTGGGAGGAGGAGGACGGATGGGAGGAGAGGGCAACATTGAGTAAGTGAGCGAGCGAGAAAGAGGGAGAGAGAGAAAGAGAGACTGAGTGAGTGAGTGAGTGAGTGAGAGAGAGAGAAAGAGAGAGAAAAAGAGAGAGAGAGAGAGAGAGAGAGAGAGAGAGAGAGAGAGAGAAAAAGAGAGAGAGAGAGAGAGACAGAACGAGAGGAAGGAAGAGGGAGAGAGAGAGCTTGAATGACGAAAGTGAAGGGGAATGGATGATCTGGCGAAGGGAGGTCGGTTTCGGAGTAGGAGGTGAGGGATGTGGCCGGAATGGGCTGGCCGTGGGGGAGGAGGGGCACGCATCCGCCGTCCCACCGTACTCGAAACACCCGAGACTTCGCAAAGGCAGAGGTCGCCGCTGGATGTACAGCCGCTGTGAACCAAAGCAGGCGCCAGGTGCGCAGCGCTCGCGAAGTGCGCCACGCGTGCAAGGTCCGCTCACACCAGGCGCGCGGGGTGTTCAGGGGCCCAGTCGTGCCAGGCGCGCCTGGTGCGCCAGATGCGTCACGTCCTCCTCCTCCTCCTCCTCCTCTTCCTCCTCCTTCTCCCCCTCCCACTCCTCCTCCTTTTCCTCCTCCTCCTCCTCTTCCTCCTTCTCCTCCTCCTCCTCCTCCTTGTCCTCCTCCTCATTTTCTGCTCTACCTCCTCCTCCTCCGGTTTGTTTTCTCATTGTTCTTTCTCCTCCCTTTCCTCCTCCTCTTCCTCCTCCTCCTCCTCCTCCTTCTCCTCCTCCCTCTCCAAATGTGCCACGTGCTCCAGCCGCGCCAGGTGTGCTAGCGCACGTGGCAGCACATTGGGCACAATATGTCGACATCCCGAGCATGCCTGCTAAAAACGACTACAGCATTGCGGCGGGGTAATCATCATTGCAGCCACAAAGAGATAGTCTGTTTCTCCCAGGAAGGGCGCAGGCCCAGGGTTCTCTTTTAGGAGTTTCGCCCCCGGCCCCGACGGCTGTAGGGCCGGCGAACTAAATCTGTGATAGATAGAGAGGTCGACCAGGGCTGGCGAATTAACATTTGAGGATGTCCCGAGCGAGACGCTTGTGTTGTAGAAATTGTTGAAGATGTTCCAGCGAAACTCTTGTTTTGTGTTATAGATTGTATTCTCCTGGAGACCAGAATTCAGAGGATCTCTCAAATGAAATGCTTGTTTTCACGTGCCCAGGTCTTGAGGATGTCTCGAGCGAGGCGCTTGGTTTCACGCCTCTAGGTTGCCCAGGCAGATGTCTAGCATGAGGATTTGTTGAGGATGTCTCGAACGATACGCTTGTTTTCACGCGTCCAGGTCGCCCAGGCGGATGTCTAGCATGAGGATGTGTTGAGGAAGTCTCGATCGAGACGCTTTGCACGGGTCCAGGTTGCCCAGGCTGATGTTTAGCTTGAGGAGGTGTTGAGAATGTTTTGAGCGAAACGCTTGTTTTCAGGTGTCCAGGTCGCCCAGGTACAGCACAGCCCTCGGCACGGTACATCAACGTCGATACATTTAGCATTGCAACTTGACACGTTCCCTGGCACGTTCCACGGCGCGTCCCGCGGCGAGTCCCCCTGGCACGTCGCGCGGCGCGTCCCCTGGCACGTCCCGCGGCACGTCCATTGGCACGTTCCGTAGCGCGTCCCCTTGGCACGTCCCGTGGTGCGTCCTCATGGCACGTCCCCTGGCACGTCGCCTGGCGCGCCCCTCGGGACGTTCCGCGGCGCGTCCCCCAGGCATGTCCCCCTGACAATTAGCTCTGGGGCAGCTGCTATGTGCTCAGGCAGCTCGAGCTTAAGATCCAGATCAGTTCGGTCAGGACTCGGATGCAAAGGAGGACTCGATCCACAACGCTACAGATCACAATCGCAGCATGGCACATCGCAATTCAGCACGGCATAGCACAGCACAGCCCTCGGCACGGTACATCAAGATCGATACACTCAGCATTGCAGACTGCCACGTTCCCTTGTACGTTCCGTGGCGCGTCCCGTTGTGAGTCCCCCTGGCACGTCGCGCGGCGCGTCCCCTGGCACGTCCCGCGGCACGTCTATTGGCACGTTCCGTAGCGCGTCCCCTTGGCACGTCCCGCGGTGCGTCCTCATGGCACGTCCCCTGGCACGTCGCCTGGCGCGTCCCTCGGGACGTTCCGCGGCGCGTCCCCCAGGCATGTCCCCCTGACAATTAGCTCTGGCGCAGCTGCTATGTGCTCAGGCAGCTCGGGCTATTCCAGATCAGTTTGGTCAGGACTCGGATGCAAAGGAGGACTCGATCCACAACGCTACAGATCACAATCGCAGCATGGCACATCGCAATTCAGCACGGCGCAGCACAGCACAGCCCTCGGCACGGTACATCAAGATCGCATTACATTTGCCCGTCGCCCAATCATGTGTTTTTGAAACGTTGCCATGCTTCTATATTCCCAAGTCAGAGCTTGCCTCTTTGGGGGTCCTAGCGGATTCATATGGCCAGGTGAGGTGCGTCGCCGATTTCGGTGGCGGGCCTGGGTGCCTGGGGGTGCCGGGATGCCCGGGTGCCCAGGTGCCCGGGGGTGCCCGGAGGTGCCCGGGGGTGCCCAGAGGTGCCAGGGGGTGCCCGGGTGCTCGCCTTATAGCCCTATAGCTTTATAGCCCTATAGCCCTATAGCCCTATAGCCCTATAGCCCTATAGCCCTATAGCCATATAGCCCCTATAGCCCTATAGCCCCTATAGCCCTACAGCCCTATAGCCTCGCCCCATAGCCCCATAGCCTTACAGCCCTATAGCCCTATAGCCTTATAGCCATATAGCCCTGTAGCCCTCATGGCCTACATAGCCCTCGCAGACTTCACAAACCTAAGGAGCAATTACAAAGGGATCTCATGTAAGATCCAAAATGACTCAGATTGTTTTTTCTCCGGTATCGTTCCTTTCAGGGTTCGTGGGTCGATCATGTTCGGGGATTGTGGGCCAGCGCGCAGTGGAACACATGATCGCACCCTCCTTGCCATCCCGTCCCTTTCAACAAGATATACGAAATGCTCGCGGGGCGCCTGCTGATGATCTAGATTTGCGGCTACTGCGTGCACCTTGCATTGTTCCCGGAAAGGGCTGAAGCCCAGGGTTTGCTTTTAGTTTTTTCCGCAAATGGCGCGGGCCCAGGGTTCTCTTTTAGGAGTTTACCCTTGGAATCGACGGGCGTAGGGCCAGCGAAATCATTTGCGGCAAATAACGAGGTCGCGTGGGGCCGGCGAAGAAACATTTTGAGGATTTCCCGAGCGAAACGCTTGGTTCTCATAATGTGTTGAGGACGTCTCGAGCGAAACGTTGTTTTGTGCTATGTATCGTTCCTTTCTGGGGACCAGACCTCAGAGGATGTCTGAGGTGAAATGTTTGTTCTCATGTGCCCAGGTCTTGGGGATGTATCGAGCGAAACGCTTGGTTTCACGCCTCTAGGTTGCCCAGGCAGAGGTTTAGCACCAGGATTTGTTGAGGATGTCTCGAGCGAGACTTTTGTTTTCACGCGTCGAGGTCGTCCAGGCAGATGTCTAGCATGAGGATGTCTCACGGTTTTCGCGTGGCACGTCCCGCGGTGCGTCCCCATGGCACGTCCCCTGGCACTTCCCCTGGCGCGTTCCTTGGAAGTTCCGAGGCGCGTCCCCCTGGAATGACCCCCTGTCAATTAGCTCTGGGGCACCTACTATGTGCTCAGGTAGCTCGAGCTTAAGATCCAGATCAGTTCGGCCAGGTCTCGGATGCAAAGGAAGACTCGATCTACAACGCTATAAAACACAATTCGCGGCATGGCACATCGCGATGCAGCACGGCGCAGCACAGCACAGCCCTTGGCACGGTACATCAAGATCGATACACTCAGCATTGCAACCTGGCGCGTTCCTTGGCACGTTCCGTGGCGCGTCCCGTTGTGAGTTCCCCTAGCACGTCGCTCGGCGCGTCCCCTGGCACGTCCCGTGGCGCTTCCATTGGCATGTTCTGTAGCGCGTCCCCTTGGCACGTCCCGCGGTGCGTCCCCGTGGCACGTCCTCTGGCACGTCCCCTGGCGCGTCCCTTCGGACGTTCCGCGGCGCGTCCCCCTGGCATGCCCCCCTGTCAAATAGTCTGGGCACCTACTATGTGCTCAGGAAGCTCGAGCTTAAGATCCAGGTCAGTTCGGTCAGGACTCGGATGCAAAAGAGGACTCGATCCACAACGCTATAGAGCACAATTCGCGGCATGGCACATCGCAGTACGGCACGGCGCAGCACAGCACAGCCTTTGGCACGGTACATCAAGATCGATACACTCAGCATTGCAACCTGGCGCGTTCCTTGGCACGTTCCGTGGCGCGTCCCGTTGTGAGTCCCCCTGGCACGTCGCGCGGCGCGTCCCCTGGCACGTCCCGTGGCACGTCCATTGGCACGTTCCGTAGCGCGTCCCCTTGGCACGTCCCGCGGTGCGTCCTATGGCACGTCCTCTGACGCGTCCCCTGGTGCGTTCCTTGGGACGCTCCGAGGCGCGTCCCCCTGGAATGACCCCCTGTCAATTAGCTCTGTGGCAACTACTATGTGCTCAGGTAGCTCGAGCTTAAGATCCAGGTCAATTCGGTAAGGATTCGGATGCAAAAGAGGACTCGATCCACAACGCTATAGGAACAAATCGCGGCATGGCACATCGCAATACAGCACGGCGCAGCACAGCACAGCCCTTGGCACGGTACATCAAGATCGATACACTCAGCATTGCAATTGCCCGTCGCCCAATCAGGTGTCTTGAAAACGTTGCCATGCCTCACATGCCCTTACTCCTTTCTGGGTTCGTGGGCCGATCATTTTTCCCCCTGGAATCGACTTGCGTAGCGCCGGCGGAATTGCGATAAACAACGAGGTCGCGTAGGCCGGCGAAAGTATTTTTGAAGATGTCCCGCATGGTAAAGTAGACGCTTGGTTTCATGCCTCCAGGTTGCCCAGGCAGATGTCTAGCATGAGGATTTGTCGAAGGTGTCTCTGGCGAGACGCTTATTTTCACGTATCCAGGTCGCACAGGCAGATGTCTAGTATGAGGATGCGTTGAGGATATCTCGAGCAAGACGCTTGGTTTCACGTGTCCAGGTCGGCCACTCGGATGTCTAGCACGAGGATGTGTTGAGGATGTTCCGAGCGAGACGCTTGCTTTCACGTGTCCAGGTCGCCCAGGCGAGTGTCTAGCATGATGAGGTATCGAGATAGCCTCGAGCGAAACGCTTGTTTTCACGTGCCCAGGTCGCCCACGCGGATGTCTAGCATGAGGAGGTGATGAGAACGTCTCGAGCGAGACGCTTGATTTCACGTGTCCAGGTCGCCCAGGCGGATGTCTAACATGAGGATTTCGGCATAATGTCTCGAGCGGAAGGATGGCTCGAGCGAAACGCTTGTTTTCACGCGTCCAGGTTGCCCAGGCAGATGTCTAGCATGAGGAGGTAATGAGAAAGTCTCGAGCGAGACACTTGATTTTTCACGGGCCCAGGTCGCCCAGGCGGATGTCCAACATGAGGATGTCTAGCATGAGGATGTGTTGATAATGTTTTGAGCGAAACGCTTGTTTTCACGTGTCCATGTCGCCCAGTCGGATGTCTATGTGTTGAGGATGGGTTCAAGCGAGACGCTTGTCGCAGTAGAGTGCATCGCACTCCAACCCCGCCCGTCCGTGAGGCGCCCCCTGGCGCGCTGGCGCGTCCCCTCGCGCGTCCTTTGCGACGTTCTGGCGTGACGTGCCCTGACACGCCCCCTAGCACATTACTCGTCCTGGCAAGTTTCCTGGCCCGTCCTCCGTCGCGTTTCCTGGGTCGTCTCCAGGCGTGTCCCTTGCCCGTTCCGTGGCGCGCCTCTTGCAGCGCCCCTTGGCATAACGTCCTTTGGCCGTCTCATGCCACGCGCCTTGGCACGTCCCTTGGCAGGTCCCTGACACGTTCAGGGCACGTTCCCTGATATGTCCCCTGACACACCCCCTGGCGCATCTCCCATTGCGCCCCTAGCACATCCTGTGGCGCGTCCGTGAGCCTGTGCCCCGTGTCGTCTCGTTCCTTTTCGGAGCTGAGTCGGATTTTGAGGTCGAGTTGATTGAATGCCACGCACGTTTCAACTCCAACTAGCTTTGGGGCAGCTACTATGTGCTCAGGCAGCTCGAGCTTAAGATCCAGATCAGTTCGGCCAGGACGCGGATGCAGAGGAGGACTCGATCCACAACGCTGTAGAGCACACTCGCGGCGTGGCACATCGCAATTCAGCACGGCGCAGCACAGCACAGCCTTTGGCACGGTACATCAAGACCGGTACTTGCAGCATAGCAATTGCACGTCGCCCAATCAGGTGTCTTGAAAGCGTTGCCATGCCTCACATGTCTATACTCCTTTCTGGGATCGTGGGTCGATCATGAGTTTCAACAGTGATGGTGTGTGGGGGGCCGCATTGTGTGGTCGGCGGCCAGTCGAGTAGTGCACCAATTGCGCAATGTGAGCTTGGTGCGGGGGCGTACGTGGCGGCGCACACAAGACATCATGCCCGATGCGCCTAGGATGCGTTACCTTGCCGTTTGTGTGCCGCCACGCTTGTGTTTGACCAGGAGAGCGTTGTCCCGGGTCGGCGGCCACCTTCGTGGGGAGAGGGTGTCTAGTCATTCGGAGTACAGGATGCTGAAGAGGTGGATGATGATGAGGGGGGGGGTATACGTGGGTTGAGTGTGATGATCATGCTGACGACGGTGATCAGATGGGAAGGCAGAGGATTTGCACTACGTCTTTGATTGGCTTGCAGTGTTGGAGCGCGCACCTGCTGGGTATCTAGAATGCACGGGCTGAGGGGCGCGGAAGAGAGCGGTGGCGTGAGCCGTGACGGCGGCGAGGGCCATATTCGACGCCCTCGAGATCAAAGCTGTCGTGAACCTCACGGTCTGGGGCTCCTGACTTCTTGCCGATTTTCTTCATGGTTCGTCCTCTCCTGCCGCCCCACTCTGCGCGAATCGTTGGCCGAGGAGAAGCCTGGCCTTGCGATGTTTTGGCGGTGCTCATCACATCGCATGCCCTCCTGGTGCCTCGCCGTCGGCAGAGGAGGAGGAGGAGGAGGAGGAGGAGGAGGAGGGGGAGGAGGAGGAGGAGTAGGAGGACCAGTGTAGACCCAAGGGTCATCAACGATGTTGGAGTAAACCCTCCCTCCAAGCTCACTCTTCATAGGGCCCTACAACGGTTCATTTCCATTGATGGAGCTGCCTCGTTGGAAGACACCCTTTTGAAGACCCTGAAGCACGCCAAAACAATGTTCTCGGGATTCCAACGCCACGGATCAGCCTGACCGTTGCGTCTTGAAGATCCTGAATCGTGCCAGAACGCCAGCCCTAGGATTTCAACACTGAGAACCAATGTAACGGGTGCACCCGCATAATCTTGAATCCTTCCCAAACGCCATTTTTGGTACGTTGATGATGTGAATCCGTGAAACTCTTGCTTTTTTTTCGAACGGATGTGCGCGGCGCCCAGACGAGAGCCACATTCAGGCCTCAGGAGTCTAACAGTGTTCACAGTTCCAGGTTTGAGTATGAACCCCTAGGATTGAAAGCGTAACGCGAGGGCCCCGTTGGGAGGGGGCTCCCGCCTGAGACTTCCTCACAGTTGGCTCACAGACGAGGCTCCCGCTGGAGATTCTTCTACGTTCTGGACTGAGGGGTCCAAAAATGACGACAGTTACAGGTTTGAGGATGACCCGCTGGGATAAAAAACGAGAGGTGCGGGACCCATAGAAGAGGGGCTCACGCTCGAGACTTCCTCGCAATCCACTCTCAGACGAGGCTCCCGCTCGAGAGTTCCTCAAGATGAGTGTTTGAGTGTGTGTGTGTGTGTGAGTGAGCGAGTGAGTGAAGGAGTGTTTGCAATGCTGATGATGCCGGTGATTATCTTGCTGATGGTGGTTATGATGATGATGGTGGTGGTGGTGATGATGTTGACGACCAACGATCGATGATCAGGATGCGACGATCCCACAGCCCCACATCGATGGGGCTGTGGGTTCGTTTTGACATCTACAAGCCGGGCAATCTCGTCCTCCTGCAGCTGCCGCGATGGGCGGCGCCCGCGAGCGCATCTCCTGCTCGTGGAGGCCGACGCCGGGCGCGTGGGCGACCCCTGCTCGGTGTGCTTCCTGGTCGTCACCGTCTCGGGGACGTGGGCGAACCAGAGCGAGTCTGTCCGTTTCTCCGCGGACCCGAAAGGCAAGCCCGGCGGCGCGACGTGGAAGCAGTGGATGCCTTTCGGCACGGTCGAGCTGAAGGTGACGTACCAGAAGAAGGGCGTGGGCTGCTTGAACATCTGCCAATCATTTGGGAGACACTGGTCGTACAACAAAAATGTCATAATCATGCATGTTCGGAGACCCCAATCGATTTCCTGTATCGATGCTGTCCACTTATACCACGCCCCTTCCTGGTGCGCTGGAGGCGGCGCCGAAGGCGCCGCCCACGGGTCGGGGAAGTGTGAGACTCGAGTTTGTCGGGACCCGGGTTCGCCGCCGCTTTTTGGCAGTCCTGGCGTGAATTTTGAAGGTGCATTTCTCGTCAACTTGTTCAAGTTGGCTCAAGCCTAAACCTGTTGACTCAAGTTGGCTCAGGCCCAAGCCAGCAGTCCAATCCGTCCAATCAGTTCGCTCACGTACTTCTGTTTCACTTCTTCCACCACGCCACCTTTCCCGTTCCCCCACCCATTTTTAGCGATGGCCGGTACGCGAGCGCCAGGGACTTCAGTGCGAGGAGTATTTGAGCGTGACGTTCGCCAACGCCTATTTAGCCCACTTCACGAGATGGATGATCTCGACCGCTCCCCTCCCCGACCGGAGGTGCACGAAATGGCACCTCTTTACGAAGTCCCCAGAACAGCAGCAACAAGGGGCGGTTCCTGATGCAGCCTCGCTCGCGCAGATCGCGGCCATCATGAAGCAGGAGGTTCAGCCCCCATGGAATGCCATTTCTGGAGTGCAGCGTGGCAGATCTTGGGAAAACCTTCGGCGCGAGAGTGGCCGCGACCGAGGAGAGAGTCGAAGATATCGACATCCGTCTGACGACCCTGGAAAACGCGATCCCCGTGACCCCCGAAGGATGTTAATCAGGATCCCATGCGACCGAGGAGATGTGGAGCCAAACCAAGGTACTAGAGGACGAGTTCGGGAAGCTGAATATCAACCCCTTCAAGGACAGGGACGCAAACACTGCAGAAAAGGACGAGGCGATGGTCATCGGCGGCCTGCAGTCTTTGACATACCTCGGAGACGTCAGTCGCTGGATCAAGAACAAGCTTTGGGAGAGTTATGGTCTACAACCGGAGGGCGTTTACGTCAAGGGCGAATTCCATGGGATTGCATTCGTAAAGTTCGCTTCGAATGGGGGCCGGGATGAGGCTGTCAAGATGTTCCGTAGGGCGGCTGTCAAAAAAAGGGGTAATCCCGTGTGGGCGAAGTCTGACCCAGACCTGTCCCAACGTGTCCTTTCCCCTTTTGTATTTGGCACGAAGCACCTCTTCAAACATTGGGGTTGCGAGGCGAAGGCCGTTTGGGCAGACCCGGGAGAGGGCAGGGTGTGGGTAGGCGCCGACTTCGCCATGCATGCCGTGATCGAGAACGGGGAGCTCAAGGTGAACTACGGCACTGGCTGAAGGAGCGGCCCGTGGATCCGGAGTACCCTGACGTCTCTAACCATCAACAAGCTGTCCGGCAAGCTCGCGAACCACCCGTCCAAGGGCACAGGGAAGGCGGGGCCGATAGGAGCATTCACGACGGGGAAGGGCAAGGGCAACGCGAAGGGCGGCAACCAGCGGCGAGTAGGGAATACGACGGCACATCGGAGTTTCACCGCGCATTGTTTCGCGTCGTGTTGATGATGGTAATCTTTTCCACTTTCATCATGTTCATTGCGCGCCTCAAGAATTCGCGCAGCAGCGAGGCAAACCTGGACATTATTAACACCCGCAGCCCAGACGACCGAGCAAAGTGTGCCGCCTGGCGTCTTGGAGCGTTGAAAGGGTTAGGCTTTGACGCTGATTCGACGAAGCTGGAGCAGATTGGCATGAGCATGAGGAAGAGGAGCATAGGAGTTCACTGCATGCAAGAATCACATGTTTCAGGAGCGCCATTTTTTTGTGTTTGGGGGCCCTACAACCGAGAGGGCATGATCAGGAGTTGGTCTGGTGATTGCCCCATGGCTTCGGTACTCGGTGATATCGTGTGTGCAGATGAGCAACCGCATTGCGACGCTGAAGCTGCGGATCCCTTGGGGCGCGATGTATATTGTCTCTGCGCGCGCACCGCAATCAGCTTTAACTTTGAGACCCGCGACGCATTTTGTCGGCGCTCTGCGCGAGACCGTCAGCAAGTGTGAGGCGCGTGGGCCCATTGTAATCTTTGGCGACATGAGCGCTCGGTTCAATCCGCGCTTCTGCGAGGAGGTCGACGTAGTTGGTCCTTTCGCTGTCGGCGACCCGCAGAGCTCGCGCGACGCCGCCAGCAATCAGCGCGTGCTAGCAGACCGGTGCGTGGCACTCGGGGTGGTTGTTGCCAACGGCCTCTGGGTCAGGCCCGTCGCTGAAATAATCGCGCACTACGACCTGGGCACGGGCCCGACGAGCGAGCCGGCCCCCGAGAAATTCGCAGATATTGACCAACTCTTCTTTCACCAGGAGTGGCAGCATGTCGTCCGACGTGTCTCGTCGGACAGATCGATTGCATTCGCGTCGCGTCATTTTCTGGCTTCTGCCGATTTGGCCATTGAGGTCCAGATGGTTGGGCCGAAGAGTCGCGGGCAGATTCGCGACCCGAGGTCATTGCAACTAATAATGTCGCGGAAAATGGTTGTCTTTCGTCTGTCGTGGCTTGTTCGGCTATGGCGCCGCCTGCAGACGTGGGCCAACGTGCGAGGCGCGTTGCAACCTGCGCGGGGCAAGCCGCCGAAGTCTCGCTCGACGCTAGACGGGCCGAGGCGAGGAGGCCATGGGTCTGGCAAGGCATCTTAGATCTGATCGAGCTTCGGGATCTGGCCAGGACGGAGCGCCAGCGCGGCTTGGCAAGAGAGCTATCGAGGCAAATCCGGCACTCGGCGCGACGTGACAGGGCGGCATGGCTGGACGGCGTCGCGGCCAACGGGAACTGGGAAGGCCTCGGACAGTTGGAGAAGAGGGGGCGCAGGTTCCAAGGCAGGATCCGAAATCGAGACGGAGACCTCGTGGAAGGCGACCGAAGAGACGAGGCCTTGGCATCGTTCTTCTCCGAGGCGCAGCTGTCGGCGCCCCCCCAGTCGCCATTCGCTGCGCGAAGGCCAAACAGTTTATTGCAGCTCCCGCTCGAGGTGTTTTGTGGGATAGAGCTGGGCTGGCTGTTGCGCAAACTGAAATCGAGGAAGGCGGCCGGGCCCGGCGATGCCCCTCCAGACTTCTGGAAAGTGGTGCACAAGAGCGCAGAAGCTTCAACATTCTGGTGGGCCTCTTGAACAGTTGCTGGTGAGGCAAGGCGGTGCCGCAGGAGTGGCGGCGCAGCCAGATCACCGCCATCTTCGAGAAGGGGGGCGGTCTTTGCCAGAGAATTTCTGGCCAATTTCGCCACTTTCTGTCGGGTGCAAGGTGTTGGCGTCTCTTCTTCTCAACGGGCTCGCAGAGGGCGGCGTGGGGGGGCGACTCAGACCCGGCCAATGTGGTTTCCAGAGCAAGCGCGGCGTTGGGGGCGCAGTCTTTATCTTGCGCAGGTTCATTGAGAACACGTGGGCCTCCAAGCACGGCAAGGCATCTGCAGTGCTCCTGGGCCGGTCGAAAGCGTTCGACAAGTTGGACCACTCCGCTCTACTAATATCGTTGGCTTGCTTTGGGATCCCCGACCCCTGCGTTGACGTGATCGGCGCCATTTATGGCGGGAGAACCTTTGA